AAGAAGGAAGGGGATGAGAGTCGCACAACTCGCTCGTTTCTAAATGAAAACGAGCGAGTAAACGTTCGATTTCTGGGTTTTGAGCAAGGCGAGTTTGATGGTAATGTTAGTTTTGGGGTTAGTTGAGTAGAATTAGTGTTGGATGAGGAAGACATTGCGAGGAGAATGGCGGGGGAGTGAGAAGGAGAAGTTGCATGTCAGTCGAGGAAATTGGGTGAAGAGAGGGTGTAGATGAGGGGATTCAAGATCAGGCGAGCCAACTAGTGAAGGAAGATTAAGAGTTGGCGTGAGTGAATTTGAGGTATAAAGTGGAGCAGACTGCAGGGCTGCGAGCTACGTGAAAAAGGGGGGATAAAAGTTGAATGAACCTTTCCGCGTTTTAGCGAAAGATTCATTCCGATGTTGTTCATCCGAAGGACAAAAGTGGCCCCTCTTTATCTCACTGAGCGCATGACTGGACGACATGCATCTGGTCGTGCTCCGGCTGGAGATTCGATCGGCTTGCCCATAATATTCAAGGAAGAGTAGCGTGAGGCGAACCATACGGGTTGGAGGCATACCCGTAGGCCAGCTCACACCAGCAGAAGGCTCCATACGACTTACTCGGTCGAACAAAGGAGACAACGTCAGCACAGCCGGGGGTTGGAAATTTACCGGTCGGCGGGCACGTTGCTCGTACGATCCGTGGAAGTAGCGAGAGGCCAGCCGCGGAATTGAAGACTTACCTATCCACCAATGCATTGCCCATCCTAATAACGGAAGACTCCCCCTCTCTCCTTTCCTCACACATGGTCCTGATCCAAGCCTCATCCCGTAGTTGCAAGCAGGCGCGCCGTGTGTTGAAGTGAACCTGAGTTGTTGAGGTGTGTTGTTTTAGTTGTGGTTGCTGCATGGCCGGTCTGGAGTCATCAAGCCCAGGCACAGCAAAGATCCACAGACTGAGAACACTTCCTTTTGATCGATTTTATGGGTGGTGTTCCCTGCGGTTGTTAGCTACGACAAATCGGGACAGTGGTTCCTTTATCCTGGTAAGGCCGTCGTGTCCAGCAGTAGAGAGTTTGGTTGGGGCAGCCCATTTGTTATAAGCTAGCGAAGGCGTTTCCATGACTTGAGGAGGTAGCCGGGCTACGAAGGGAGAATATCATCGTCGCTTGGAGGGTCATCTGAGAAAAGGCAGTTTGACTTTGGTTTGACTAGCGGCTGCGAGTGTTGATCATCATTGCGGGGCCCTCAGGCGATGGAAGACAACAAGGCCCTCTCCTGCGAGTCTGAGTGCACCTATCTTGTATCTGAGAGACTAAATGAATCTATTTCTGCCCTTTTTACTGTAAGTCTAGTCCATCAGTTTAGAGAGGAAGGCTGCAGGCGGGATTGCAACCCGTAGGTACGCATCAAGATTCTGTGGGGAGTCAGCCCACCGATTGCGGGAGCTCTGATGGAACTAAGAAGGAGTTATGGAGGCAACGAATTGAGAGGTAATCTTCCACCTCCTTCTATAAACCCAGTTATAACCCCTATTTGTACTGCTTGCTATGTTTTGACTGAGTATACTGCGTGCACCCTATGTTGACTTTGGGTTTGACTTTCAGGACACGAACCAGACTAAGTAAAGGAATGCATGCGTAATCTTAGTTTCAATTTTGTTGATTGTTTGAAAACAGATTTGGAGAAAAGGGGTTGCATCAGAGGGAAGGTGGGGAGGAAGGCAGCTATGTTTGAGGTTGAAAGGGTCTTAAAGGGCTGGACATTGTTTCTAAGATGAATGTTCTAGCCGCTGTTTGTTTTGGGTGGTTTCTGAACAGACTCTAAGTCTTGACCAAGATTACTCTGTTTTTTTTAGTGCTGAGAAAAAGGGTTTGGGCATTGTTTCTAAGACGAATGACTCAACTCTTTTGATGTTTTATTCTGAGGAAGGTTCAGGCCAAAGACTCGACATTGTTTCTAAGACGAATGGTCTAAGTCTGAGGCCACAAGATTTTAACATAAACAAGGGAATAAGACTCTCTATATTTCTATGTCTATATGCTTATAAGAACAGGGCTAGCCAGACATTGTTTCTAAGACGAATGGTCTAAATATAGCCTTATCACAAATTACGAGAGTATAATTAAAGAGCTACAACTGAAGGTAACCTGGGCCGGCTGAGCATTGTTTCCATGTCGAATGACTCAGTCCTACGCCCACTTTTGAACATTAAACTCAGAAAGATATATATAATTTGGCTATTAAACAGATCAGGGCGATTAAGCATTGTTTCTAAGACGAATGACTTAGTCATATGCCCAATGAAGAGAGAATTGGTTGTGCAACATGTTTATGTATAACGAAGGCAAATAGTTGACATTATTTCTAAGACGAATGACCTAACTCGATGCCCTATGTAAGCTGGGTATAAAGGGATAAATCATTGAAACACTTTGAACTGTTGGTTGCCAAGATTGACCTAGGTTGGTGAAAGTACCTACCTTTGTGGTCTGGCCTTGCATGTGACTAAGTGAGACTACTTAGTCTTTGTTTCAGTTTGATAGGTAGTTGTTTTAGTTGCTCGCCACGTGCTAGAGTCATAGGAGTTAGTTTCAATTCCTACATTTTTTTAGTTAAGTTTTTTTACTTAGATCAATTTTTGCATTTTCTGAGAACGTTTACTATACTTGGTCTTGTATAAATCTTGGTAAGTCACTTGCCCTACGGGAAGCGCTGCCGAAATTTCTACAAAACCAAGAAGTTAGTCAGATTTTGTAATTTTAGGGTCCAGTTTTTCTTACTTTCTGGCTTAGTAAAAATTTGGAAGCCCTCCTTTTCTTAGTTGAACTCCGATTTTATGTCTGAGTTCATATCTGACTTAGTATAAATATGAGAAGTCTACCTTTCTAAAGGAAGTGTTGTTCAAATTTTTACTAATTCAGCGAGTTAAACAAATTTTGACTTGCCAGAGTTAGAGATCGTTTTTGTTTTCATATTTGGGTTATTATAAATTTTGCGAAGACACTTTTCCTATGGGAAGCGCTGCCGGAATTTTCTTAGTTTAGAGGAGTTAGATTATATTTTGAAAGGTGACAATTATGGCAATCCACTCTAAATAGAGGAAATTCTGCCAAAGATCTGCCTTTTCATTAGAAACTGTAAAGTTGACTCAAGATTAGTTAAGTAGAATGATTTTTGGTTAGGTTGTGATTATGAAGATTATTCTCGAGTAGAACTCATAAATTTAGCTTGGGGATTCACCTGTTTAATTTCAAATCAAGGCTAGATTCAACTTGATCCTACGAGGATCATCTTCTGTCATCACTGATAACAGGTCGATTGCCGATTCGTCGGTTTACGATTCAACTCCAATCCACTTCTGTCACTCAACCTAAAGGCTTTAACCTTACAACGTCCAACCATAGAAATTCTAAAGAGCAAAGGTTAAAAAGGGAAGTCCATTTTCTCGCGAAAACATAATCTGTTTAACCCTTACACGCGGTCACAGTAGGCCGCACGAAACACTCAAGACATATGTATTTACATATATACAGAGGGCTATAAATATGTGACGATCACTTCTCACAATCACAGTGGGGCTCCTCTCAGCCGTATATATATATGTATGTGGGCGCAGACAGTCAAATTCAAAGTCCGAATCACCAAACATACCTGCAATCACATCAAAGATTCAACCAAAAAGTCCATGCACTACATGGGGTCAACTTCAACCATTCTCTGCGCCCACACCCCTTGCTTTAGTCATGCAAGCCTCACTATTGTGCAACTCCTCGAAATAAAATACTCAGTACTTTTCTTAAATGGCCATTCAAATAAAGTCCGGGCGAAACCCTTTGATTTTCTTAGGCCCTAGATGATGGAGCTGGTCTCTACGGCAATAAAAGACGATTGCCAGCACAGGTATGAACCGGTGTACCACCCACTCTCCGCAGGTTGCAGAAGAGGGTGTGGTTCTCAACCACGCTTGGTGGTTGTCCAACATCGAGAGATCAGTCCCTCAAGGCGCATGTCAGCCGACACTTGAGTGTCGAACGCGACCCTCGAGATTAACGAGGATCTCGTAAGTATGGGTACTACATAACACGCCATCACTGCGACCGCTTGCTTACGCTTGCATTGCAAGTTAGTATGAGTTAGCCCTGCGTCCGCGTGGTTTTGTACTAAGTCTCGCTCGCGACGCCAATCGGATTTCCGCATCGGGGAGTTATGGGATTGCTACTAAGGGACTTGGAGTGTTGTCGCGTTGTTTAGTCAGTGTCGTCATGTATATGTATATGTATGTGCGTGTGTGTGTGTGCTTTTATTTTTATGTTTTTTATAGTGGTATGGGCGTGGCGTGTGGGATGCGTCCTAGTAGACCGACGACAAGTCGCGCTTGGGACCTCAGCCCCCCAAGATGCCGGTTCGCGTGCGAGTTCGATAGAGGCGTAATACCGCTCGTACCCCCTATGCTACAAAGAACGAGAAACGCCATCGGTTGGTCCACCTCTGCAATTGCATCTGATTAGCTTTCGTATTGTGGACTGGTAGCTCGGCGGGGATACGCCCACCGAAGGGAGGTGACAGCTCCCGCAAGTTGGAGGTAAGTCGTGCCTCGCGTAGGCCCTATCTAGTCGTAGGGGCTCGCGAGAGGTATGGCTGGCGCACTCGGTCGAAGCGGCTTGTGGAAGCTCCATATGTATTCGCGACGAGGATCAAACCGACTCTTGCATGACGTGGCCGGGAGGGTCCCGCGCTGCCTTGTGCAGTGTCGGACCGATGCGCTCGACAGGTCGCGCCATTGTCGGGGATAATGGTTGTCTGCCGTTGTTTCAGGTGGAACGACATACGGGAATGAGAATGTGAGAAATAGGCAAAATGAGAAGTTTTTTTTTGGCTTTTACGGTTAATCATTTGATGGTATTGAATAAAGAGCGAGTGAGGGCTGATTGTGCGAGTTGATTTTGTTTGATGCAGTAAGGATGGCATAAGAGCGATAAGAGGTTTGAATGTGCGCTTACGTGCTCTGACTGATAAGATGGTAGTTGGAGATGGTACCCCTTCTGACCATGATAGTTGACGGGTTTGGACGTTGCTTTACATGGTTGATATGGTTAGGGTACGATGAGGGGACGTCGATATGGCTAAGAACGTTAATTGAGGAAGTTGACCCTATAAGGTACCTATTATGGTCGAAGAAGTTATCTGAGTGGTCATGAGGGCAACTTGGTACCCTTGCATTAGGGTGAGACTGAAGATGAGTAAGGGGCCCTATCAAGTTAGAAGTCGTCGAGCGACTTCAAGAAGAGTTAGGCTAAGGATGCTGAAAGCCTTTATGAATATGGATTGAGATCCTTGAGATGGGTTCTAAGCGGTTATTTGAGTTATATAAGTTATGAGAGTGTGAGGTCTGCACCACATAATGTGTTTGAATTAGGCGTACAAGGCGGCGGTAGGTACAAGGAATATCGTGTTATGACCTCGCCATAAGAGACTACAAGACGTAGTAGGTCTGCATAGTATCTCCCTTGCGAAAAAAATATTTGATTCTAGGGGGAGTCGGAATAACAGTGAAAGGGCTAACATTTAGACTAATTTGATAGGGCAACGAGGTATAGATGATGTTAGATCTTCGCTTAAATCTTTCCAGTTTTTTACCATCCACTTGAATCTATGGGTCGGAGCTAAGAACTTAAGATTATTATCTTCTATGGGCATTTTTTGAGTTATATGATTGAACTCATCCCTATATGCCAGGTATTATCTTAGTTAGTTTGTCTGATGTCTGGTTATGTGAGGCTATGTGCTTGATATTATATTATTTGAATACCCTTGTCAGGAATATTTACATGGACTATGTATCTGAAGTATGTATTTAAACTTTTCAGTCTGCAAGGATCTATATGAGCGTGTCAAGTTCAATTATCGGCTTATGATTGTCTGTTAAAGTTTATGTGTTTGGATTGTTTCTCAAAGAGGGGTAAAGACATTGTGCAGAATCCTTGTCTGATGCAGATTCATAGGTGAATGAAGTGACCATTTCCTTGAAGATAAGTTTATTCTCATAGAATGGTTATTGTGTAAGGTCTACCTTAAGGAAGGTTGCAATCCTATGTTATTGTTCCCCTGAAAGATGGCTTTGAAGAAGTTATAATTTTGTCTTATAAGTTGTAGTGAGACTCACACCGGAACTATGTTCCTGGTCCATAGTGGGGTGTTGTTGTTGTATCATCTGTGATAAAGTGACTACACTACTACTGAATAGGAGGAAAGTATTTGAGCCTTGTCAGACCATGACCTATGAGGGAAACGGCTACTACAAGCCACAGAAAGGTAGGGAGTGAATCCCCAACTATTTTTGTGTCAAGTGCGTTCACTAACACAGAACGGGACAGTACATCCCGAAGCGTGTGTGGTGAGGTTGTTTACTTTGTCGGCAAGGGTCTGCAGGGAGCAAGTGCTGGAATCGGAGGGAGAAGCAGTGAGGCTTGATCCCGAAGCGGGGCTAAGGGATTTGAGATGCTATCCATTCTTAAAAGGATTACACTGCCCCTCGCCACAGTATACTTCTATCATAGCTAGGGGAGTAAAATGTGGTACTCTCGTTGGTATTTGTTTGAGAATGCGAATTGTTAGCGGCTTTATCTTTGATCATAACATATCTATCATATGAAATGTTTGTTGATATAAGCTTATTATGAAGTATTTGTATGTGCTTTAGATAACTGACTAGCTGGTCCATAATACGTTTGGTTGTTATAAAGAATTATTGATGTCAGATTATCAAGGCAATATATAATTTTCCATAAGAATTATTATTATTAATTTTGATATCTGTGAATGTGTTATTATTGTGATATATTACCATTATTGCTTTCCCTAAGCTGGGTGATCGTATACAATGGAAAGTATGAATTTTTAATAAAAGATAGCTTGGAGTCAAGGCTTCCAGAGTAGGGAGTATAAAAAATATGATTGTTAGCGTAGTAATGGAAGACGTATATTGGACATTTTCTGGGGTTGGCAAAACCCAGACAGAGCGAAAGGCAACTCATGATGCCTTATGCTAGGGAAGATCCCAATGTGACATTGCCGGTCAGGAAGGAAGATGAGTTTGAGATATCCTTGCCAAGGCGAGTCAAGGAAGGAAAATATATCTCTTCCTGGTGGAGCGCATTGATAGACAAGGGTATCTTTATCTGAATCGAGTTTGGATTTGATGATAGTCAAGATTGCGCGATCGTGAGGGTGACCCTATATGCTTAACCATCATTTTGGGTCTTACACGGGATTGAGCTGGCGCTTAGGCATGGAAACCTGCTCGCAAGGCCTTTGAGAATAGATGAGGGAGTTGCAACAAAGTGGGCGAGCGACAGGATCCAGGAAGTAGAGGAGCGGGTGGTGACCCATGTAGAGGTCAAGCGTGCCCAAGAGTTTGCACTTCCTTCAGCTCCATTACGAGTTGTCTTACCCGAGCTCCTGATAGAAAAGTGTTTTGGGGGACAGGCAAGGGTAGAGGCCGCAACAGAGGCCGCTTTGAGGATGCGAGTGTGGGGATATGCACGGTACACGTGCGAGTTGATATATGGCATGTACTTGGACCAAAGGTTTATGCCCCATAGTCAAGCGATTAGAAATATGGTCAATATTGTTCATGCCTATGCTGGCTCCCACGATCCGGATGACAGGGCTATAGATTGGGATGAGATTTGTGCGGTAGTGGGTCAATAGAGAGTACTTCGCCAAGTGTGTCCCTCACAGACTTGTCTATGGGAGAGAAGCTTAACAACAGTTGTATTTTTAATTACCACTTCAAGACACCCTTCACCATTTCAGGATGCAGCCTGCCTAAACAGGTGGTTTTCATGGTCTTCGGACCTTTCATCACTTCAGGACCATTCATGTCTGAAAATCCTGAATGGCCCTGAAGTGTTGAAAGCTCTGAAGACCCTGAAAACCACCTGTTTAGGCAGGCTGCATCCTCAAGTGGTGAAGGGTGGTTTTCATGGTCTTCGGACCTTTCACCACTTCAGGACCATTCAGGGTTTTCAGAGTGCCCAAAAATCTCACTTGACCACTTCAGGACACCGTTCACCATTTCAGGATGCAGTCTGCTTAAACAGGTGGTTTTTCGGGTCTTCGGACCTTTCACCACTTCAGGGTCATTCATGATTTTCAGACTGCCCAAAACTCTCACTTCAGAATTTTCATTCCTGAATTTTCAGCTACCCGATAACCGCTTGTGGTCTATGGCCGCTCCTACTATGTGATACAAATACGAAGGTTAGTGGTACGTGTAGCCTCGATTATTGTTTGCCTAAGGCTGGCTTTGAAAGCTCTGCCTATGTGGGATGTATATTGTTTATAGTACCCTCAAAGTTAGAATAGGGGTGACTAGAGTTTAGAGTATGGCTACGATCCGGACCACCGGGCAGGGATCCGGACCGTCCGTGGTCCGGGGTCCGGGGTCCGGGTCCGGATGTTGGTCCAGATTAGAGGGCCCCAGCACAAGGGGCAAAAATGTTTTGGGCGGTCCAGGGCTTTTACTCAGGCCCTGGGCCGCCCAAAAAAAATCGCGCCCAGATTTTTGCCGCCGTCGGCCACGAACCGGAAAGTGGCCTGGCAGGTTACCTTCACTTTTTTTTTTTTTTTTTTTGAACCGTTGTGGGGGGTGTTTCGCGCCCGGTGCTTTCCGAACGCACCTGCCCAGTTGTTGAGCGCCGTGGTGGAGAGGCTTCGTCAGCTCTGCTGTGCCATCACCGGGTGAACTCGTGGAGAAGCGCGCGCGGCAAGGGGAGGCAAGTGTGGGGGGGTGAGCAGCTGCGCAGCGACCAGCGTGAGGAGAGGCGCGTGGAGCGGTGAGCTGCACGTGAGGCAGGTATGTCTCTCTCTCTCTCTCTCTCTCGCACACACACACACACACACACACACACACACTTACACTTCTTGATGAGTCGGTGAAAGTCTGACGAAACAGTCCGGCACAGTCGATGTATGGGTGTCATTCTTGCATAGGGGCCATATATGATATATCTTTCGAATCTTTATCATATATGCGTGTCATCCTTGCGCAGAGGCCATGCCAATCTTCTTTCTCTGTATCGTTCTGATTTCAACGAAATGCTGTTTTTTTTTTTCTTCTTTTTTTTTCTTTTTTACGGCAAAGATCTGCTCTACCCCCCATATGGCAAAGATCTGCACAGATCTGCAAAGATCTGCGCCGATCTTTGCCATATGGGGGGTAGAGCAGATCTTTGCCTGTCGGCTTCGTCCTCCCCTCCTCCCCGTCGGCTTCGTCCTCCCCTCCTCCCTGTCGTCATCCTCCTCCCCTCCTCACCATCGTCTTCGTCCTCCCCTCCTCCCTGTCGTTTTCGTCCTCGCCTCCTCCCCGTCATTTTCGTCCTCCTCCCCTTCCCGTCGTCGTCCTCCTCCCCTCC